GAAAGGCGCGAGGTGGAGCGTCTGCTGGTGCGCTGCATGGAGAATCAGAAGGTGGGCATCGCACTCCTCACAGTGTGAACATATACAAACAGCCGAGCAAGGAGGTGGCAGGCAATTCTGGAGTGCGATTTCTGTGGAATACGGGACGGCGAGATTGTCGTGCGTATTTACGGTGAGTGAGATGCATGCTCTAAGCAGTAAAGCCACACACCACGTCACACCCTCAAGCCTAAATTATCGCCGGAGTGCACAGGCTGTGACGGGCCAGCACCTGTGCAGCAATTTGCTTTCAGCGATTCGCTCTCTGTGTCCAGCAGACAGTGCAATGGATTACATTCTGCCGCTTACGTGTTTCTGATGAAGGTATTATCCGTTGGCCTTCTCTCAAAGCTATCCTTTGATGCCCAACGGCATCAATCAACAGGAGACTCCGTGTCCTTGCTGTTCATGGCCTTGTTGGTCCTGCTTACCAGCTGCAAACTGTAGACGTGCTGGAGAAGCTACACGACCACACCATGCTTTCAGGAGGAACGGCATCTCGTGAGATTGGGAAAGCGACCCAGCAGAAAGTTGAGAGTTTAAGGCATTGTCGTGTCCAGGTGATGCAGCGGCGTTGTCACCACAGTCGTATCCTGCTATGATGCGCTCTTTTTCCTCAAGCAGTGCGATATAGTTTTGTTTACCTAAACCCTAAACCGTGAGGTTTGTGGGTTTCCCTGCAGAAGGGAAAGATGATGAGGTTGCTGAGGGTGGCGCTGGTGCTTGGTGCGCGGGGTGTTTCTGTTGATGCTCTCAGAGTCCGGTATCCAACACTTTGGTGCCATCTTAGCAGGGCCACACTCTTCGGCCTCTCGGGCCTTTCCGTCCAGTCCGCACGAGAGAGAACCCGCCCAGTGCGCAATCTCTGAGGCTGTTCCCGGCTCCGCACGCCTTGGGTGAGCTGAGCAGTGGAGTTGGTCGAGAATGGCCGGATGCACGTGGGGCCTTTCTGAGTGACGGTGACACGCCTGCATCATTTTCCAAAAGCCGTTCATGGTGTAGGCTTCCTGGATGTCTAGTGCCTCTTTATCTCAGATCCTCACTTGCGATGTCGCATTTTGCGTTGCCGTGGGCGGCATGCTGCCGATTTTCCTCAGTCCTCAGGAACCGCGGACGACGGTTGCGAGACTTTGGCGTGGGTGAACCAAGCTGATCACCTCCGTCTACGGCGCAGCCCTTGGCAGCCGCCTGTGTCCGTGTGTTGTCTCCAGTACTGAGTGCGCGACAAAATCCAGGTGCTTCGTCCCCGGGGGTGACATGCAGCTGGCATATCGAAAGGTTCAAGGCCGCTTACTAAAATATTGAATGGTATGCTGTACTTAACACACATACACACATACATACATACATACATACGTACGTACGTACATACATACATACATACATACATACATACATACATACATACTACGAAAGTACAACGTTCTAGGAAACGCAACAAGCTACTCTAAAGTAGATGCCACGCACAGCTCACTCAACCGTGAAGCAAAGTCAGCCCTGAAGTTTGCAGGCGCCTTTCTCCACTCAGGGCAAAGTCATCTTGAGCCACATGAAGTGGCGATGTCCAAAGTCTGGTCTCTCTCAGGGGAAAGTAGGGACGTGTTATTTTCACA